ATGTTCATGACGTCACTTTAATTATCTCTTGATAAATTTCTTTCATTTTCGTCATTTTGGAACCACATTTGTGAGTGAACGGAACTTCACTTTAAAGATTCGAAAAAAGATTTCTCAAGTTCGATCTTGATACTTTCATCTCCAGTTTCAATGAGTTTTCTATGATTTATGGTTCTCGAGATCATCGCGACACAAAATGACGACTTGTGATGCCTACGTCAAGTCAGTAAAAATTAAAAAATTAAAAAATTAAAAAAATTAAAAAAACTCGCGACGGACTACATAAATGCTTCTGCTTCGCATGGCATTAAAAAAAATCCTCGAAGGACTACATAAATGCTATGCTTCGCATCGCATTAAAAATAATTCAACATATCTCGATCACTTTGTTGTACGTAAAGATCGCTTATTTTTGATGAATGGTGTTTAAGTTTCACTTTATCTTATTGTAATAATTTTGAGAGTGGTGTTCTCTTAATCAGCATAAAAATTAATTAAGTATAAAACATTAATTTCGATCTTACTCAAGTATGACATGACCATTTTTTTTTTCTCTGTACATGCATGCCAATATATAGGCGTCGCTAGTATAGAGCATAAACTTATATCTAGTGTTTTTGAAGGACATCTGAAGTCATACTTAGTATTGATACAAATCGCCTTAGAAAAGGTAAAATATGCATGAATATCGTTTTGGAAAGTTACTCATGGTTCAAAAAAAAATGAGAGTTTTCTGTAATAGAAAAATGCATGCACATTAATCCTGTTTTCTTTTGTATTTACAGCACATTTCTGATTACACTATTTGAATAAGATTATTTTCTTTTAGAGATAACATCGCGTATTAATGCACATTCATTTTTCGTTTTGCTGTCTTTCATGACCTAATCAAATATGGAAAATACAGCTTATGATGTTGCTATTATTGGATGTGGTTCATCTGGAATAGCAGCGGGAATTGAACTACTTTCTCAATCAAATTTGAATTTCATTATTTTAGAAGCACGTGATCGAGTGGGAGGTCGTGCTTATACGGATCAGCATTCATTAGATTTTCCTTTTGATCTTGGAGCTGAATGGATACATGAATATGATTTTAACAATTCTCTTTATTCTTTTCATGAGCAGTTTCAAACGGATTTGAACGACGATTACTACATTCAATTATTTGATCCAATGAGAATACTTTGTTATGATTCAGATGGATCGGTTATCCCCCAAGAAGTTTCTTCTCTAGCTCAAATAACAACAAATCGATTATTCACACAATTTAAATCTAATGATACGAATAAAGATACGTCAGTATACGATGCAATTCAACCAGAATACAATAGATTAGAAGAAGATCAACACAAACGCCTTGTTAAAACAATGATCGTAGCTGTAGAAGAAATTTTTGCAGCAGATCTTCATCAACTTTCAGCTAAACAATATTTGAATAATCCTAACTGGTCGATAGAAGTCGAAAGTGAAAATAATCTTGTTGTTAAACATGGTTTAGGTTACTTTCTTGAACGTATTACCAACCATTTCCAACTACCTATTCTATTCAATACTGTAGTAACTGAAATTGATACACTCTCTCATGCTGATATGGTTCAAATTTTGACTTCTCAAAATCAAAAAATTTCAGCAAAATATGTAATTATTACTGTTCCTCTTGGCTGTTTAAAACAAAATACAATTATCTTTCAGCCTCCTTTGCCGCAATGGAAATTAGATGCTATTGATCAATTAGGATTTGGACATACCGACAAAATTATCATGCAGTTTGACAAGACTTTTTGGAATGAGAAAGCAACCATATTGTATCTAGTCGATGCGTCATTTCCGTTTGCTTTATGCAATCCAGCAAAATGTATACTTTCGTTTATGATTGGCGGACGACGAGCACAAAAAATGGAAGATGAAAAGAATGAAATAACTATAGCACAAATTATGAAACATCTTAAACAAACGTTTTCTCAACAAGAATTCAAATTGAAACATTATATTATTTCCAGATGGACTCAAGATGAATTTGCTCGAGGATCTTATTCATATTTTGCAATGAATTCAAGTATCGAGACAATGGGACTACTGGCCAAAGAGTGTTCTGAAAATCGATTGTTTTGGGCTGGCGAACACACTAGTGATGGAGCATCGGTTCATACTGCATTTGCTACAGGAACAAGAGAAGCAAAGAAGATTTTGAATTATCATTCAATGAAAACATAATGTTTCTATTAAAAAATAATTTTGTCATGTATTTTCAATGTTTCTATACTGATGTCGTTACGTGCATCATAATAACCCGTGAAAAATAGAAGTCAAATCGATGGTATAGAGATTGGCTAGATTTTAAACAAAAATACGATTAATGTATTATAGAATATCTTTTAAACGATATAAAATAAAACTGATTCTCCTAGAGATATTTGTTAGCCTAAGAAATACAATAAATATTAATAAAAGAATTAAAACGAAAAACTGAAACATCTTTTACAAATGAAATAACATAAACACTATGAAATTACATTTAATTCATCTTTGAAGTAAATTTTTAAGCGTGTTAATTCTGTTTAATTTTACATACGGAAATAATTGTATTTATGTATTGATCCTTGTATTTATAGAAGACCTTTCATCATAAATACGATGTGCCGATAGCTATTTTGATTGATACTCCCTTTATTGTTATCAGTTATTTACAAAAAGAAGCATGATTACTACTAAAATAGCACTCATCGCATTGATAACCGTATCAACAATTTCCATGAATGTCACACCATTTAAAATAATGAAAAGATCAATATCCACAGCTAGTCATATGATCTCAGCGATGAAAAACACCCATGGAACAACGATATTAATCACAAAAATAACATTCTTGGAACCTGTACTTATAATAGTGCACGTGAGAAGACATATCAAAGATATTACTGACAGTCTGATGAAATGTTATGATACTTCTTCGAGACCTTAGAAGACTAACCGGCGACACTAGAGTGAAAACATAATAAGATGATTATGAATAAAGAATGACTTTCCATTATGGTCTCAAAATGAGAATGACGAAATCAAGTAAAAGTGCTTTCTTTTATGAATTATTAATAATTGAATAGCTCACTCATAAATATATAGCGTAAATATAATCCGAGTCAAATATCAATACAAAATAAAAACCCATAAAATAAAATAAATATGATATACTTCATCTGACTGTTTTAGTATTGAATGTAAACTAGCGATATCTAGAGTTAACACTTCGGTGCAAATATTCTATTGGTTTTGTATTGGAAATCGATTCACAATAATACAACACAAAGATACAAAGAAAGAATGAAATAAGGTTTATACATAATCGTGGTACTAGCCGGCTATTTCGTAATATATTTGTTCGTCAGCTACAAGGTCATTTGTAAATTTACTTTTGTAGATTTTCATCTTATTTGTCTTTAATTCAATTGTATTTTTTTGTCTCTATATTATTGTAAAATCAATTATGTTCGAGGTAGAAACTATTAATTAGTTACGATTAGTGTTATAATATGATTATCTATTGTAATTTAGGCTCGTCTTTTACATGGTTCTATCTTTGCTAAAGTTATTGAAGGCCTTCGAGAATTAGTAAATGAAGCAACTTGGGAATGTAGCGGCAATGGAATTACATTACAAGCTATGGATAGTTCTCACGTTGCATTAGTCTCACTTGTTATGAGAAGTGAAGGTTTTGAATCGTATCGATGTGATCGAAATATGAGTTTAGGCATCAGTCTTGTCAGGTATAGTCACGGAAATAATATGTTCATTTTTATTGATTATTTATTTTATTCAGTATGTCCAAAGTATTGAAGACAATGGGTAAAGACGATTCATTAACCATCCGAGTCAATGACGATTCAGATTCAATTATAATTGCTATGGAATCTCAAAGTAAACTAAAACAAACATAACGAAGCTAATTTCTAATCGAATTTTTTATTTGTTTTCATTAGATCAAGATAAATTTGCTGATTACGAATTACGATTAATGGATTTAGATAGTGAACATTTAGGCATTCCAGATACGGATTATTCATGTACAATTAAGATGCCCAGCAGTGAATTTTCTCGTATTTGCCGTGATATGAGTATTATGGGCGATTCAATTCTTGTTTGTACAACTAAAGAAGGTGTCAAATTTTCTGCTAAGGGTGATCTTGGTCAAGGTATGGCAATTTTTTTTTGCAAAACGTTTAAAGTACTCTCTAGCATTTATTTCACTTGGTCAAAAATATATTTCAGTATGAAGACAATTGTTTCATAACATAACTTGAACTTTTATCGATGATACACTCTAAATAAAAATCGTTTTCCCAGGAAAGCGATTTTTATTTATAGTGTATAACAGTCCCTCATCGTTAAGAAAATTATGGGAAAATATAGTCTAAACCTATCGTTATTGATTTATAATCAATTTCTGATTACTTCTCAGAAGCAGAAGAGATCTATTTCACCCATACCCACGTTCATGTCAAAATCCACATCCGATTTTCTGGTGTCCTCGAATACGAAGGTAATACACTGAACTCATTCTTTTTAGGTAGTATTCGTCTTGTTCAAACAACCAATATTGAAAAAGAAGACGAAGCAGTTATTATTGAAATGAAAGAAGCTGTTGCACTCACATTTGCTGTACGATATTTGAGTATGTTTTGCAAAGCATCGCCACTTTCACCTCAAGTTGGTTTAAGTCTTTCAGAAGATACACCTTTAAGTATGTAGCTCTATTTATTGAAATCTGAATATGTATGTTTCATTTAATTTATTAAATTTAGTGTGCGAATTTAAAATTGCTGAAATGGGTCACGTTCGCTTCTATTTGGCACCAAAGATTGAAGATGCAGATAATTAAACAAAATCAGATATAGAATATTCTTATATAAAATCATGTCAGATAGATATTATTTTTTTCTCTGTTCTTCTCTTTATTTTGTCTATTAAATAATGAACTTAGGATATGCTAGGATACTTTTCTTATAAAATCATACTCTTCATTTATTTTCGTCTAATTTCTAGATTAAATACGATGAGCAATACTGTGAGCTTTCGAAAAATGTTTTTTTTATTTCTTTGAAGAAAAAAGTATATTTTACTGATAGGTACCAACCGATGATGCGTCTGAAAAACCAATTAAAATAAATAAATGGGAAACGAATGCATTGAAAAATGCACTAGATGATGCATGTAAAAAGGTATTAACTCTATGGTTCTCTGTTATACATATTAATAATATTTCTTTTTTTTCTTCTTCTATCAATCTAGTATTTTAAAGAGGCACTTAATTTTACTGAAGATTATAAATTAATGGATGGTCGTCTTTATATATCGTTGATTGCATGCTTATTTTCAGGATTCGGTTTGATCTATGATTGGTTAAATCCATTTCCGAAATCTCGTTCAACACTCATTATTTGCGTTATAGCGTAAGCTAAAAGAACTCTTTACCTACAAATTTTCGAGTCTACCCAAAGCAGTAGCGAAACTGTTTTAATTTCTTATGAAAAACTTGTGGAAACTTTCATCATATTTGTATTTTATGATACTTGATCAATCTTCAGCAAATGCCATTCTAGTAAAATTTCGATACGAGTTGTTTACTACGATTTAGGATGTAATATATTCGATAGAATCAGTATATTGTACGGCTTAGGATTTAAAATCAAAAGGAGATATATTTGATAAATTGAGCTAACGAACACACTAGACTATCGATTATCCATCCGACTATTTTTGAATACTTCACGACTTATAAACTAGATGAATTTTTTTCTATATCTTCATATGTTGAAATATGCTAGGCATATTAAGAGATGAGAAAGAATGTAGTTAATAACTCTTATCGAACTAAGAGCAGTAAAATGTAATTCGAAGAAAGAATAATTTTAACTCGCACATCCTATAGAAAGCTTTTTGAGCTTTATGTCAGGAATTAAAATACCTTGTTGGCATGCCTTTAAACTTTAATTCCTTCTTATTTAATGAAATGAGTTCGTTTCCAATAGGTATTTTATTCTTATGGGTATACTTACAGTATATATGCAATTTATAGAACGAGGCAGATTTTATGCTGGAAAACTTGGTAAAATTTACTTATGATTACATTTTTTCTATAATCACAGACATTCATTTAGTTGATAAAACTGGTATTGATCCTATATCGCGTTGTACGATATCATCTAAACTTAAAAAGTAAACAATCAACTATGAATTCATTAACATGAAAATAAATTCTCAATCTTTTAGATATGATGATAAATATGATCTAACTCTAGAATATAATGATGGTACAAATAAAGCGACAAATTCTTTACAAAATATTTCCAAATCCGTTGGCAACTATTTCGATGAGAATGGTGTTTTATGTTATGATCGATTTACAAGTGATGTAAAAAAGATGTATGATCAGGCACGAACGAGTGAACGCAAAGTTAAATAATAATTTTTAGGCGAAAAAATAAATAAACTTTGAGAATAATAAAAAAAACAATGTTATTCGTTGTTATTTGTCATATTTAATTAAAAAGCAATAAATGATTTAAACATCCATATTTTTATATTTCTTTTCTTTTTCCTTGATCTTGCCGATAGAGACGTGCATAATAATGTTGTTTTTCATGTAGTCGTTTAAGATTACAATGAAACAGTGAAAGATGAATTGAATGATAAACAAAATAAATAAATAGAATCGAATGAATCAATTCAATTAATTTATTTATATCGATTGGATAATCAACTTTAGTAAAGTAATGACATTTTTGCGTATTTGACGTTGATAAAAATGAAAATGAAGGGAAAAGATTAGCAAAATGAAAATTATTTAACCAATGCCATATTGTAATATCAGAAATTTTGTTCGTAGTAATACTTGATTGACATCGTTGTAATTGAAAGCTAATATCGAATAGTTGATATTTATTCCAAAGACGAGAGAGCAATGAACTGATACCGTACAAGAGACTGGCAAAGAATAGACGAGCAAAATGAATTAAATAGCCTCTTTTGGATAACATGATAGATTGAATTGAGCGGGAAAGTAGTTCTCATTATGATCGTATTGAATCAAAATTGAATAGAAGTAATTAACAATTTTGAAAGCAACAGTACACGATAACTATGCCACATTCAATAATGATGACGATGGGCACGAGTTTCACTATTGACGAGACAAATTGCACGTAATAAATTTTTTGCCATACTTCGAGATAATTAATTTGATAAAAATCTTCAGAATCGAAAAAAAAAATTAAATCAGAATATTGAAGTATGAAATAATTTAAATCGATATCGTATGTTATTGGGCCAAACTAATATTTTCTTGTTAGATCTAAAATGGGGGATAAATTGAGATGGCACTATTTCATGTCACAGAAATTTGACCGTGGTGACATAAAATGTGTTTTATTTAACCTGACATTGATTGTTTGTTTCATGTAAAAAGAGAAACCAAACAAATTTTGATCGACTTAAATTTAATAGTTAACCGACAAAACACTCATTCAACGAAGTGCAGAGTAAGTCAGAGGCTAATGATGCATTGTCTTTTTTTTTGTCAAAATACACGAAGGAATTTTTCAGACACTTGGAAATTACAATATAATTCTATTGTAATAACTTATAGAGCAGTATGTCCTTTTCAAAGAAGTTTCTTTGGTAGCATCATTCATGAATGATTGCACTTTATAGATTTTCTATTTTGCGATCGAAAGGACAAAAATAAAAAGTTTCGGCAAAGAAAGAAAATATTGTTGTATGATGTAGTACTTTGCTGTCGTCGATCAAAACAATATCAGTCATCAATCTTATTTAGTTGTTATCTATGTTTTCCATTGAATGACTTGTCAAATGACGAGAAACAAAAAAAAAGACTCGCTTTGTATGTCAATTATTGTCACACACCTCAGTGTTCTGATAAATCCCGAGGGCACGTCTTTTGCAAATAATTTTTTCGCTGGAATCCTGACAAGCGCTGCGATGTATGATTATCGTCAATAGACATACTTGCATTTTGAAGCATAGATTAATTTATTTTCTAATCTTGAATGTTCATTTTCATGTCTGCTAAGTATATTTTTAAGATTAATTTTCTTATTTCCTCATTCGCCATTAGGAAATAGACGCCTATTTCCCGATGGAATTGAAAGTATATGCTTAAGGATGAGTACAAAAACTCTTTTTTTTAACTTAAAAGCGTGATGATCCTGAATCAGTATTTGTGGAGATCAAAAACAAAATCTTTTATTAATTCAATATAGTCAAAATGAAAACGAACCGACTGAATGTTCTATTCGATTTGTGTTAAATAAGTAAGTTAATAATTCATTACACATCTATACGCAATGAACAAATTCAGAATAAAATCTCTCTCGAATAAATAAGCGCATCCTGATACATAATTAGTATAGATTTCGTTAAATTGTGTATTCTATTCTGGAAAGAATCAATAGTTGGGCACAGTTGCTTTTCATCATAAACATTTTTGATTTTGCTGTGTTGATATAACATAATGTTATTTTTAATTTATTGAAATATTGAAAACAACAATGAACAACATATAAAAAGGAAAACACGAAGATTTTGTGATTTATCTATCTGTCTTATAGAAAAATAATATAATTTATGTAAGTACTGTTTGAAAGCGAATAGTAAAGATAAAAACAGGAATATCCATTTTAAGTCAGAGTAACATAAATATTTTTTTTGTTTTTTTATGAAGTGTGATACTCGACAGACGATAGAAGAAAAAAATTGTTTTATTTCTGCTTCATGAACATGCTAATGAGCCATACAGATCATATTCTTAGTGTTTTTCTTATTTTGATGATCATTATATATGTAACTTATATAATTCGTCGATTGTTCTAATACAATTGTGTTGAATGTCATAATATGACATTTTTATTAGCATATCCAATGAAATCCGCCATTACACAGTTGATATTTCACCTATTTTATTCAATCCTAAACTTGTTCCATCGTCTAGACTTTCTTTAATAATGTATCTTCGACAAGTTATCGTTTTTAAAAATTCATCACGAAATATTCTACTTGTTAAACAATACAAATAAAAATTCGAAGCAAAATGTACGTACATTATTGCACGAAGCAGACGAAATGCGAATATATAATATACATTATTACGTGCTAGATTTGGATGATGGACAACAAATTGCTCAATAAAAATAAGATAAATTGTAACAGGCACGGTTGTACAAAGAAAAATAACGACACAATATGACATTATTAATGACATTTGTCGTTCGATTGCTTTTCGACGTGATTGATTTTTCCTTTTTGGACTATTACCGTTTAGTGCTTGTTGAATATTTGTTATTTTAATTTTTTCATTTTCATGTCCTTGACTTTCACAATGATGACGATTTCGTCGAAGAATATGAATAATGCGTACATTACAAAATATCATAATACAAGCAGGTAGAAAACAAAAAATAATCATATCAATTTTTGGCCAAATTATTTTGTAAAAATAATAATATTTTGGAAATTCATCACGATTTTCTAAGCAATGTGCTGTTGTTCGATTTCCACCTCGTTCTTGCCCTATACCGGGAGAAAAATAGTGTCCATTTATACCACATAGAACAAGAAAACATATTGATATCATTATCATTGCATTGCGTGGCGTACATATTATTCTAGCACGCAACGGTATTTCAGTACGCAGGAAACGATCTAGTGCTAAACCGGCTAGACACCAGGATGATAAATCCATAAAAACATACGCAAAAAATGTACGAAAACGACATGCAAGTGCCGAATAATTTTGCAATTGAATAGAAAATGCATCGCCCAAAAAGAACCATAGGGAGGTTATAAGGGCAATTGTATCGCTTATGGAAAGTATTAGTAGAAATATACTACTTGATATGAGACGCATACGGGAATTGGAAAATGTAATAAATGCAAACGCATTACCGACAAATCCTAAAATATAGATAATCGAATAGAGTATTGTACCAATTCGATTTCCCAATAAAATATAATAATAAGTCACTGGTGAAAGAGTAAATGCATCGTTTTTAGTAATATTGATCGTGTAAGTTAAATTTGCCATGAATACATGTAAATGAGTGTGTTTATGTGTGAAGAATCGGTTATGAATAAGAGTACTTAATTGTTTTCTCTTTAAAAATATATTACCATTGGCAGAATGCGAGCTTCATTTTTTATCAGGATGCAAGTTTTTGGTTCATTTAATTTGTTTTTATGAAAATATGAATAACCGAATGTTGGTGAGAATTATTTTCATTCGATGAAGTTGTCTGTGATAATGTGAGATAGATTGTTTCTTTTTTTCTTCTTCTAGTTCTTATTCTACGCCATTTTGAATAAGTATCAAGTATTTCTTCCTATCATGTACCGCTCATTTTCCATTATTTTTAACAGCGTTCATTTATTTTTTTTATTTGGTAAATATATGTTTTTGATTTTAATTTTTCTTCGGATACAATAATAAGGACGTTTATTTAAAGTGGCAATATTACTGTTTTAAAATATGATTTAATAAATGTGTGTTGATGTCAAAAGCTTCAGTTCATGTGTAATTTGTTGTTCTACATTACGAGAAAGAAAATGATTTTTTAATACTGGTGTTGAAGGTAACATTTGAGAGTTCGACTCATGTTTACGTGGTAAAGGTACATGACGATGTTCACCATTCGGTAAATTAATGAGAACAAAATACGGCGAAGGACGTATTATAATATTCGATGGGGGTAACGTAGTTTCAGATGAAGAATATGTTGTTGATAATTGATGACAGCTTACCGAACGATCACAAGGTCGTAATAGTCGTTGTTTTTGATTTCGAGTAAAATATGGTCTTGTCCAGTATATCGCTTCCGATATATTATAGTTACATATACTGTTGCTATTAGTTGTTCGGATTGAGGACGCCTTTGTTATTGACTGGTTAATCTAACAGAGAGAATAAACAAAAAGAAACAAATAAGATGAAAACAGTAGCGGAAGATGTCATCAATAAATTTTGTTGCATGTCTCATGAGAAAAATACATCGTTTTCTTTTTACATCCTGTCTTATAGTGCTAAAGTTGAGGAAAACATAAGGAAACAAATAAATCCAAAATTAAGGTTAGGCTTGATTATAGTCTGCGAGTTGTTTAAGTTATTGTATGTACTATTAGGAATAAAAAGTACATGCTTTCGAGCATTATTCCCATGAGGAAATGGAACGTGCACAAACATATTATTAGAGTATGACATTTACATTCGGCAGATGAAAACGCTTTGTGTTTTTTTTACACCTACCGGCACTTGTGACAGTCGAGAATGTTCTATAAAATAACGCATTTGCTTATTTGCTTTTAAAAGACCATTTGTTCGACTTTTAACTCGTTCTTCATATTTATTTTCAATTAAAAAGCATAAAATATATTTTGCATGAAAACGAAATCGACGAGATATAATAATACAAATAAAACACTTGTAGGCATATGATAATGAAATAATCGATTGCACTTCATGATTAAAATTAATTAAATAGGAAAAAAATGATGAATATGGTGATAAAAACATAAGTAACATATCACTCAATCGAATTGGTAAATTAAAAAATGAATGTACAATGCCAATAGTTGCAGCTATATATTTGAATGAGTTATGTAATTTTTCATCATATCTTCGATTTCGATATGTACGATGTATAATAATAATTGAAATAATAAATATAATAATACATGGTAGAGATATTCCAATTAGATTATATCCATAATTAGTTGCATTTAATAATTTTTTACTTGTGCCATCTACTATTAATGAGCACACACCGGCAACGCCTTCTACTCTTAGATTTAAAAGGTTGAAATTTATGCAAGAAACAAAGAAAATTTTTCTTTCTTTCAGCTTACCTTGTTGATAATCTTGTAAATCTTCTTTTTTCTGATATTTGAGAACTTCAATGGGATATATATTATAGATACCAAAGAAAAATACAAGAAAAACTGTAGAATATTTTGCATTTATATAATATAAACTACGATTCCAACATGAATGTTTTTCATTGTCTTTCATAGTTAAAATAAATTGATTGACAATTAAAAAAAATAATAGCCATGTCGCAAGAAGAACACTCATTTTAGCAAAATATGTGAAAAATTTACAACAAAAATCTGATACATGTATAAGATAATGTTGGCCAGCTGAACGATCTTTATGAATATAACTTAAAAAGTTATCAATAAAGTGAAAAAGTATTAATAATGTATCAATGCATATGATTTCAAAGAGAAATCTTTCAAATGAACCTGTTCGAGCATTTGTTGCATATGATATTCGAATCGATTTATCTCTTGGATAGCGTCGACAAAATAAACCATCTCGAATAAGAATAAAAAGTAAAAGTATATTAAATGGTAGACCAACTAATGCAGAACATACAGCAAAAAAAACATATTTATCATAATGAATTCCAACAAAGTCACCAAATAATGAGAGCATTGTATGATTATAAGGAAATGAAAACATTGATTCGTTACTAGTCATAATGTTTTTGAAAAATTAGAAAATAATAGAGTTGTCTGAAAAACAAAACAACGTAAATTGTAAATATTCATTAAAATGATGGCAAGATATTTCTATTGGATTACTTATAATAATATAGATATATTGATAGAAAGATTTGTCTGATGTTAATTAAAATCCTAGAATTAACAGTATTATTTTCTATGTGATACTTTTCATAGAAGATTTTCAACTAACTAACACATCTGCAAGCTATAAAATTCCTATTAGTCTCTGTCATTTTCCTCCTTGTTTTTTGGACACTTGAAAATTAATGGTGTTAACAGAAGCCATTGAGATTTCTCTTTTTTTTCTATTTTGCCAAGTTAATTAACTTGCTTTTTCTCATGTATGAAAAAATAAAATGTCTTAATTGCAATAGGATGCATTACTGTAATCCCCTACAGTAATGATAGATAAAAATATGATTATATATTTCCTGTTTCTCACCAGGCATCAATTTATTGACGTCATCATTTAGCTAAAGTAAAAAAGTAATGCATTATTTCCTTTCTGTTAAGTATATTGACTAAATTATTTATTGATCTAACTAAAGAAAACCTTTTAACTACGATTCTTTGAAATATTGACTGTATTGATGCTATTTTGCACATAGAATTGGAGTAAAAACAAAGTGAATGTTTTATGCTTCGGAAAAAGTTAATTTTTTCATTTTTTTTCTTATTATTATGATGGATAATTATATCTAATATTGATGATATGCTCTTAGAAATTTTCCTTTTCTTCTATTGTGAACAAAATAGAACTAACAAGAAACTTTTCTCTAAGCTAAAACGATTCGATTTTAATTTTGAACTCTTGTCAATATATGAATTCTAGCCTAAAGAAAATATACTGCATTATTACGATGTACATTCTTAAGCGTATCAGAATAATAATCTCCTGAAGTATATAACTGATAATTATATTCGGACACTTTTCCCCTGTGGGTGCCAATTTTTTTTTCTGCGTAGAACAAAATTGAAAATAATTCCAAGTCTAATTCCATTACTTACAGTTAAGAGTATATATGCCTATTAAATAGATATATTATCCGAATAACCTTGAGAAGAAAAATCAATCCATCTTAGTGACACCATTATGATTGGCTTTTATAAATTACTAATTATAGATAAAAATAGTAAATTGTTTTTCTTTTCATAAAAAACACAGATAGTAGGAAGAATAAACGGGTAACTTACAATCAATGATGAACTATTGTATTATATTTCTTTATATCATTTCGTTCTTTTTTGTGTAGGAATGCAGTCGTAGTTAAAGAAAATTGGTCAAAACTCACTGCATGTTATATCCCACGCTGCGAAAATGATAGATTCACTTTTCCGTCGCATCAATAGAAGACAAATCTATTCAGTGACCAAATGTATTCTACATTAGAACATTCCTATGGTACAAGTTAACAGTATGCAAATGTACCTAGGATGCATTGTACGTAAGAGTATTATTTTGTTTTTTATGAATCATTTTCCGATTAGAATAACTAATTATTTTATTTTCCGACGTTTCAGAGATATCTGTCTCCTTCTTCAGTTTTATTTTATTTGGTGTTACATTTTTGTTTTTACTATTTACAATACGTACCCAGGTCGATCAACTTGTATCGTGCACGGCCGTTTGGTGTGCATCGTATACGGTCGGATACTGAAATTATCCGACCACACTACGGCCGCTAATAACCGTTTACGTCACGACGAAATACGGCCGTAATATGGTGCATGGCAAAACGTCAAATTACGGCGATTCCGGTCGGAAACGTTATAAAACGGTAATATACATTGCCGTATGCGGTCGTTTACGATCGTAACAGGTCGCCGTAATGTTCGACCTGGGTATCTGACTATTATCTTCTTTTTCTTTAATAGTGGAACGGAATGACAAGACGGTAATACTGGCCGATAAAATTTATATGTTTTGACGTTCCGTACTACTATTAAAGAAAAAGAAAAAGAAAATAATAGTCAGATGCGTATTGTAAATAGTAAACACAAAAACAAAACACCAAATAAATAAAACTGAAGAAGAAAACAGATATCTTCGAAACGTCTGAAAATAAAATAATTAGTTATACTAATCAGAAAATAATTAATAAAAAACATTAGAACAAAAGGAAGAGAAAAAACAAAATAATGTAATTATAATGACCTTCTTCAACACATGTAACACTAGTCGACGTTCTTGATATCGTTCTTTCCAGATTCTTGACAGGAAAGATAAATATTGATCAACCAGGCAAGAATCCTGTGACAGAATTTTGGCTGGCAGATCAAGATTTGTCTTTCCTGTCAAGAATCTTGTGTTCATGAAAATCAGGTCAAATTCTTGCTGCTAACTCAAGAAATGATTCTTCCTGATTTTTAAGAAGAACAAGAATCTTGTCTGACAAGCAAGAAAAACAAGAACCTGGAGATCGAAGTCAAGATCGTCGACTAATGAATTGCACATAAGTCACGACCACCATTGCTCAATCGATCTCATAGATTTGGCTGATATTTTTACAGCAGATACTTACATCTGAGCTAAGAATAAACCTTAAATTTCAGCTCAAACGGATCAGTCGTTCTCGAGATATATGACTTGAAAGTATGAGTAATCGATCAAAATTAGACTTTTTTTTTATTGCAGTACTTTTCAGTATATTTTCATTTTCTCTTAAGTAGTAATAAGAGATATCATAGAAATTTTTTCACCAAAGATACTATCGATTACGGGTTATCTTTTGATAGTCATAAAAGTGCTACATCCAGGAGTGACTTTTGATTGGCGCCA